CCGGGGGCGCGGACTGACGAAATCATGTTGTCGGATGTCTGGGACCGCCACCTCCAGCGCGAGGAGCCTGGGGAGGAGGAGGAGGAGGAGGAGGAGGAGGAGGAGGAGGAGGAGGAGGAGGAAAGAAGGAGGAGGAGGAGGAGGAGGAGGAGGAGGAGGAGGAGGAGGAGGAGGAGGGGACCTCCACCTCCAGCGCGAGGATCCCGGGGAGGTCCCCATGGTGGTGTGCCCCCCCTCCCCGCTCGAGACATTCTTACTGAAGGGGCCATGGGACACACAAATAAATAGACACATATAACAGGATTCCCCATCGTTTCCCATATCTCCTGGGTTTTTGTCTTCCCCCCACTTTCCATATTTTCCGAGATGTTCTGTGGAATCGACGATGAATTGTGTCTGTGATCGTGGACCTCTTCGGTGCAGGTGTCACCCCTGGTGGTGGTGTCGCTTTTCTTTCCTCGGGTCCAGGGGGGCCGGCTCGGAGATCGCCCGCTCAGCAAAATCGGGCAGCATCGGATCGGGATATCGAATATAATCGAATCGGAATCTGCGTCGGATCGAAGCGACACTGGCGGCGGAGCCAGAGCCGAACGGGGTCGGTCGAGCTAGGAGTCGCAACGTCGCCGTACAATCACCCCAGACGAACGACGACTTGTTTTTTTGTACAATGCGCAGCCCCAGAGGTCCCAACGCCTCCCCCGGGAGTAATCAGTCGTCTTGGATCCATGTTTGCTGGTCCGGGGTCCCCCCTGCACGCCCCAGATGCCGAGCACAAAGAAGCAACGCCCACATTGAAAAAAAAACGCCGCTCACCCGAAACCCGAGATCGGGCCGCCTCCGATCGCGGAAGGCCGCGGTCGAACCGGAACGGGCCGGCGAGAGTCGGCACACCGAGGCGGAGCGGAGAGGGGGGCCGCCGCAGGAGCGCCGTGGGGCGGGAGGCGCCGGAGGCGAGCGCGCTGCGCATGGGGAGCCCGCCCCGCTGCGCATCAGGGCCAGGCGTGGGGGCCTAGGCCTCCGACATGTGGTGCACTGGGGGCTCGGCCACAAGAAACCTGCGCAGAAAACCCAACCCTGAATTCCGCGATTGGATCCGTGAAAATCCACATGTGTCGATGGAAAATCGTCAAGATCTGATTGGGAGCCCATAGGAATCCAGGAAACCCAGGGCACCCTGGCAAAATCCAACTGGTTTCTTGGCACGCGACCCCACTGTGCCATGCGCGGGCTCACGTGATGACCGCTGTCCATGAGAGTATCGTCTGCTGACCTCCGTGTCTGTGCTCCTCCGCTTCGCTCTGAGAGAACGCCGCTGCAGGGAGAGGGGGGTGAAAAGCAGTCGGAGAATCGCGCCGCATCCCCCATGCATCGGCGACGCCTCGGCGATGCCCCCGCGACGTCCGCGATGCGTGTGCGCCTTCGGCGTGGGCAGCCTCCGGCGAGGAACCCTTGCGCAGCCCGCCGCGGCGTCGGCCCCAGCGGCACGCTGCAGGCCCTGCGCGCGGATGGCGAGCCGTTCCGCCCCGCGGGGGGCCCCACAGGCACGTGGCGGCTCGTGGGGGCGCCGGTGCCCGGGGGCCTCGGGGCGAGGGCAGCGCGTCGCGCCGAGGCGCGGTGGGGGGCACGGCGTTGGGGAGCAGCGCGTCGCCCCCACCGGTCGCCGAGGCGAGGCGGTGGGGGCCCGACGCGCGAAGCCAGCGTTCCCGACCGTGAGCTCAGGTCGGGCACGTCCTCCCACAGGCGGCGTGTGGACGACAAGTGAAAGCACGGGTCAAACAAAAAGCAAGCGTGGTTGAAACATCGGCCCCAGACCATGTCTTGACTGTTCTTGAAGATTCCTCCTGTATTGGGACATGCCGACTCAGCCGCAAGCGGGAACAGGCGATCCACGCGATGTCCATGCCTCTGCGCACGCTCCGCATCCCAACGAGGGGCCAGAGCGGCGGCATGGGTCGAATCATGGCCTCTAGAGGGTGGGGATTCGGTAGCTCCCATCGTACTTACGCACCACAGCCCAGAAATAAGTTCGAGCGCCCAGAAAAGAAGGGCTCCCAACTTCGCGCTTCGCGCTGCGCGAAGCGCGGATAACTTCGCGCTCTCGTGCCGCCTCCCAGGGGAGGAGAGGAGGATGAGGAGGAATCGGAGCCGAACCGCGAAGCGCGAAGCGCGAATACCTTCGCGCCCTCGAAGGCGCCCTTGGAGAAGTATCAACACCGGGTCGAACGAGTAGCGCCTCCCAGGGCCCGACGCGTGAAGCTCCTCCGGCTTCGGTACTCTCGTGGTGCTCGAAATCCTTTCTGGTGGCCACGGTTCAAGCAAGCTGGAACAGCATAAGGTTAAGTCGGGCGTGTCCCCGTACAGGGGGATTCTGGACGAAGAATAACAAATACTCGAACCACAGCCAAAAGATGCTCGAACATACTCAAAAAATAGTCCCCATACTATGTTTTGACTATGTTTGAACATCCCCCCTGTAGAGGGACAGGCCCGACTTAAAAGCAAGCTGAAACAGCATAAGGTGGGGGGGGGGGCATGTGCGCACAAGGCAGGCAGCGCCGAAGGGCCGCTGGGGGCGAACGTGTGGCCTGCCGCCCGTCGGAAGGCCGGAGACCGGCTGTGGAGGCGAGAGGGGAGGGAACGGAGCGAGAGACAGTCCTAAACGCTGATGACCAGCCTCGAACGTATCCCTATCCCTAAGATGGGCGAGCAAAAAGCGAGGACAATCTTAGGGATAGGCCCTCAAAAACAGAGGCCTTAAGATCGGCATCGAGAGGTGAGGTGATGTCAAACATAGGGATAGGGATATGTTTCAAACTGGTAAACTGATGCGTGATCTTCTGGATCATCACGCAGGTGGTACCTGGATGCTCGAACTTGTTCACATCACTCTGTCCAATCGCAAAGCTCCAACTGTTCAAGAACATACAGTCGGGGCGTTGACCTAAGGAACCCTAAATAAGGAACGAGGCTCCTTTTTTCCATAAGTTCACCTTCGATTTCAGATCGAAAACCTGATGAAAACCTGAGGCAAGCTGTGAAACACTTGAGGAACGCGGAGCCCCTCCCCAATGCAAAGGGTTCCTTCTTCAGGGCCCCGACTGTAGGAGACAAAACTTTCTCGTCGCTTTCGGGTCTCTAGGAGCTCGCACCAGGCCCCAAGAACGTCAACCAACTACTTTGTACCAAGAAGCCGGTCCCTGGGAATGCATGACAGACCTACGGGGGTCCATGTAGCGAGATAGTCACGAAGTCGGGGCTCCAGACCTTTGGATCTACCTCGTTTCTTCCTCTCCCAATTTTATCCCGCGCGCTGGAGCACTCATTTCGGCAACTGCACACCTTCGTGCACGCACATCCGCCACAGGGCCTTGTGCCCAGTGGGCGTGTTAGAATGCTTGCTGTCGTCTGGGAGGTTGCTCTAGTTTTCTAGGCCCCCTCCCCGCATCACGCGCACCTGCCGAACATCGTCCCGCCCTGAATTGGCTCTCCAGCGCTCTGTTCGGCCTCCAGCCCGGCAAGATGGCCTCCAAGGCGGCTTCCAAGGCAGTCTAGATGACACCAAGACGGCCGACGCTGGCCCAAGACGTTCCAAGAGGCTGCCAAGACGGCCTCAAGACAGCTCAAGAGGCTTCCGGGACGGCCCATGAAGGCTCCAAGAGGCCTTCCAAGAGAGCCCGAGGAACTACAGAGTTCCGACGCCCCGTAAATGCTTGACAGATGTTGAGGTTCTCGCCCATTCGGGCTTCCGACCGCCCAAGACGGCCTCCAAGATAGCTCCAAGGATTCCCCAAGAGCCTCCCAAGAGCCTCCCAAGACGGCCCTAAGACGCTTCACGATGGCACCACGACGGCCGAGGGAAGCCCCCCAGACGGCCTCCGAAGGTGTCAGGCAGGCCCAGAAGCCCTCTAAGACAGGCCCAGATGCACTCCGAGGCAGGCCCAAAAGGCCCCAAGAGGCCCCCAAGATGCCCCAAGAGGGCCCCCAGAGGCGGCCAAGAGGCCCTCGGGAGGCTCCCAGGAGGCCCCAACCAGAGGGCCTCAAGAGGTCTTCTCTTCCTCCTCCTCCATCTCCTCCACCTCCTCCTCATCCTCCATACCGCGCGGGCGAGCGCGAGGTCGAGATCACGACACACCTCAGTTCAAACCACTCGTTGAACTGTCGCGGAATGTGCATTCGACCTCCCCCCTTCCGCGCGGACCAAGTCGAGGTCGAGTTCACGACCCTCCTCAGTTCAGACAACCCACTGAACTGCAGCGGGGCGTGAACTCGACCTTCTTCATACCACGCGGACGAACACGATGTCGATTTCACTACCCTTTTTCAGACCACTCGCCGAAGTGCAGCGGGATCGCTGAACTGCAATGGTGCGTGAATCCGACCTCCTTCTTACCATGCGGTCGAAGACGAGATTGAGTTCAAGACCCGTCTCAGTTCAAGCAACTCGTCGGACTTGCGATGCTCCGACACTCAGCCATCTTCCTGCTGCGCTGGCGCACGAGCACGGTGGCGGGGTTTGCCGCAGGCAGCTGTATAGAAGCTTCAACGAGCCGAGCTCGTATAGTCAATGCGATGGAACATCCCAGTGAAATGTTGAGCGAAATGTTAGGGCTTCATGTTCTGCTCCGAGAGCACAGGAAGCAAAACAGTGAGCGCCGCGGCTTGAAGATGCACGGCAACGGTGGATGAGCGAAACACGCGAGGGAGGATGGCAGGGGATGAGGAAGAGGAGGCGAAGGTCCACCGACCACCAGCAACGCACCGTGTTGAGCTAGAGCATCGGCACCGGAGTGCAAAGGAATCAGGGCAGCAGCTTCTTGGGGGCGCCGTGGTGCCTCGAACCACGGTGCGCCAGCGACCCAAAACTATGTCACTCGGACCGCGTGTTGCCCCGCCTCCTCCTCCTCCTCCTCCTCCTCCTCCTCCTACTCCTCCCTCTTCCTCATCCTCTGCATCATCCCTGCGTGTCCGCAGGTGCCGCAACTCGAGGGGCAACATCACACTCATACCTTGATAGTGTTGGTATTCATGGTATTTAAACTTGGCAGAACGATCGGGGCACACGCTAAGGTGTCGTCCAACACCCATTTAAGCGCCCCCAGAATGAAGAAACCTGCGAACAAAAAACTCTCCCCTCCGTTCGTGGACGACGTGAGGGCGCCTGCCCCTCCGACGGCGCCATTGTCTCGCGACGTGGGCGCCCGGGGATCTCGACCAAAACATTGCATGGCCGACTCCGGAACCCTGAGCCTAAACAATGATCGGGCCGGACGGAAAGGGGGGGATAGCAAAGGGGGGGGGTGATAATAAGTTCACGTAGCTGATTTTCCCGGCGCCTCCCGGCGCCGCAGGCGCCCATGTATCGAGGAATGGGCCCGGCGGAGCTGCATGCAGCAGACTTCGTACCCCCCCTTTCCCTATGCCCCCCCTTCGTTCGGCCCGAAATGAGCTGTCCACTCGTGGGGCGGTCCTTGCTTCCGCGGGGGAGCCGCACTGCTTTCTGCTTCCGCGGGCGATCGCCCGTCCTTCCACCGCCTGTCGCCGAGGAAGAGCGACGCCGAGAGTCCTCGATCCCTCGACTGCGGGGCCCCTCCTGGAAAGCCCCCGCGCTGAAGAGCACACCCGCGGTCGCGAGATCTGGGCGGCGCCCAGATCTCCAGATCTCCAGGGTCCGCCCGCCTCGGCTGCGGTTGCGCACACGCCCGCCTCGAGGCTGGAAGCCGAGCGGGCCTGTGCTTGCACGAGCGCGGGCGCGCGACTCTGCCGCAGGCCAGGCCGGGCGGCTGGAAATCGCCAGGCTGCGCCGCCGGCGCGTGGGCCTCGCGACGAGGAGGGGGGGCGGAGGTCATGAGGAGGGCAGGACAGGGGAGGTGCCGGCACCGCTCCACACGCATGCGGGGAACACCCCTCCGAGGGAGGAGGGCGGTATGGGGCAGTAGACCCCGCCCCCCACACGTTCGCTTTTTCCAGCTTTCTTTGCGAGTTCCGTTGACGTCCCTTGGGGGTGCACGTCTTGCTTGCGCTGGCTTGCCGCCGGGGGAGCCGCTTCCGTTCTGGCTCCGCCAGCTTCTAGCAGCCTCCTGCCGCTGAGGAAGGGGCGTCAACCGCCTCGATCCCTCTTTAACATCTTGGTTGCCCTCACCACCGACGTTGCATTTTCGTTCGCGACTTAGCCCCCCAGGGATCTCCACCCCCTCTCCAGAACTTACACGTATTGGTGCCTTCAGAACGTAGTGGAGTGCCCCAAGGCTCATGCAGTCCAAGCCGTGAAGGGCACGTGCAACTGACTTTCATGAATTCTTATGCGCCTCGCTCAAAACACCCTCAGAGCCCCGAGCTTTCCTGTGAAACTCCCAAGGGCGTCCAAGAGGGCCCCGAGACGCCCCCAGAACGCGCCAGGACTGCCCTCGATGCCCTCGAGACGGCCCGAGAGGCCCCCAAGAAGCCCCACGAGGGCTCCAAGAGAACCCCCCAAGAGGGCGCCAAAGGCCCACATCACATCGAAGGCTGGGGGGTGTGAGAGCTCAGAAGGAAACGCAGACCCCCCAGCGGGAAAAGCGGTTTCAGTCTCGTGCCGTGCGCGTGCGGGCGAGGCGATTGCAGCTGCGTCGGCGGGCGGAGGGGAGTGAGCCCGCCCTGGCCGGGGCGAGCTTGCGCTCCACGACTCTGCCCAACCCCGATGGGCTGGCGAGGGCTCGGGGGTGGCCCGCGGGTGTGTCCGCGGGCGTCCCGTGGCGCGGAGCTCCGTGGTGTCCCGTGGTGTCCCGTGGTGTCCTGGGGCGCGGTGCCACACGGTGTCCAAGGGAGCCCCGTGGGGTCGATCAAGGGATCGAGAGCGAAGCCGACGGTAAGATCGGTAGTGAGATCGACATGCGGATCTACGTGAGATCGATCATGCGGTCGACTGCGATATTGACAGATACAGGGAGATCGGTCGTGCGATCGATAATCGTACATCTTTCTGGAGAGAGAGAGAAAGAGAGAGAGAATGAGATCGATAGATAGATGGCCAGTGCTCCGTGGTTCCCAACTGCTTTCCGCCAAATCCGATCCGACCCCGATCGCACCCCGTGAGCTGCCCCCCACACGCAACCTCCTTATCACCTGAAGGGTGGTCATATGTGTATATACCTATACGACCACCCTTCGGATGATAAGGAGGCTGTGGGAAAGAGGACCAACTGATGACAACTAAGATGACCTTCAAGATGCCCACGTGTTCCCCGAAGACTTTCTAAACCAATTCGGGGAACACATGGTCCGATAGCTTGGCAGGTCTGGCCTCAACGTTCGGCCACATAGGCGCTTCCAAAAAGGCAGGGGGAGGCGGTGATTCGCCGCAGGCGTCTTCGATCTGCCGCCCCCTGTCGATTCATCGCAGGTGTGCCTGGCGTGCTAGATGATTTCGGTTTCGGTTTTGGTTCTTCTCCAAAAGAACTCTCCCAATGGGCTCCGGCGCGTCCCGCCGGGGTCCCGCAAGACCCGGTCGCAAACAGTTTTCCTACCCCAGACGGCCCCAAGATGGCTTCCAAGACGGCTAAGATGGTCCCAATATGCCTCCAAGACGGCACAAGATGCACCCAAGACTGCCTAAGATAGCCTCAAGATGGCCTAAGACGGCCCAAGAGGCCCCCAAGAGGCCTCCCAGACGCTCCAAGAGCTCCTCCGGGAGGGCCCGAAGACGCCAAAATCATTGATTTTCCATATGTTTTTGAAGGATTTTGAAATTTGCGTCTTTTCGGGGTTCCGACGGCTGACGACGGCCCAAGAGGCCCCCAAGTTTGCCCCAAGATCGCCGAAGAGGCCTCCAAGAGCGCCCCATGACGGCCCAAGAGCCTCCAAGACGGCCCCAAGAGGGCCCCAAGACGGGCCAAGAGGCCTCCAAGACGCCCAAGATGGCCTCCAAGACGGCCTCGAAGCGCCCCAAGAGGGCCCCAAGTCGGTTCAGAGAAGCTTTCAAGACGGCTCCCGACGGCGTCAGACGGGCCAGGAACGCCCTAAGACAGCCAAAGAAGCCCCCGAGAAGCCTCAAAAGGGCCCAAGAGGCCCTTAAAAGGCCCCAAGAGAGCTCAAGATAGCCCCAACATGGTCTCCAAGACGGTCCCAAGATGGCCCAATCGAACCCAAGAGTGCCTCAAGAGGCTCCGAAGAGGCATCCTCCCCCTTCTCCTTTTTCCTTTTTCTCCTCCTCTTCCCCCCCCCCCGCGTTCCCCGAAACCTTTCCAAACCGACTCGGGGAACACATGGTCCGATAGCTTGGCCAAACTCTAGCCCAGCTGTCGGACACGTAGGCGCTTCCACAAGGACAGGGGGCGGCGGTGATTCGCCGTAGGCGTCTTCGATATGTATGTATATAAGTATATGAGTATATAAGTATATAAGTATATATGTATGTACGTATGTACGTATGTACGTATGTACGTATGTACGTATGTACGTATGTACGTGTGTATGTATGTATGTATGTATGTATGTATGTATGTATGTATGTATGTAGGTATATGTATATATATATATATGTATTCCTACGGCTCAAGACGGCCCAAGAGGCGCCAAGATCGCCCCACCATCGCCCACGAGAGGCCTCAAAGATGGCACCATGACGGCCCAAGAGGCCTCCAAGACGGCCTCAAGAGGACCCCAGGACGGGCCAAGAGGCCTCCAAGACGCCCAAGATGACCTCCAAGACGGCGCCGAAGCGCCCCAAGAGGACCCCAAGTCGGTTCAAAGAGGCCCCCAAGACGGCTCTCGTCGGCGTCAGACGTGCCAGGAACCCACCAAGATGGCTGAAGCTGGCTCGAAGCTGGCCGTAGACGGCCCAACAGACCTCCAAGAGGGCCTCCTGAAGAGGGCTCATTGATTTTCCTTTGGGTTTTGACGGATTTCTACATGTCCTTCTTTTCGGCCTTTCGACGGCTCAGGGCGGCCCAAAAGCCCCCCAAGATCGCCCAAGATCAACCAAGAGGCCTCCAAGATGGCCCCAAGCCGGCCCAAGAGGCCCCCACGACGGCCCAAAGAGGGCCCCAAGACGGGCCAAGAGGCCTCCAAGACGCCCAAGATGGCCTCCAAGGCAGCCCCGAAGCGCCCCGAGAGGGCCCCACGCTGGTTCAGAGAGGCCCCCAAGACGGCTCTCGTCGGCGTCAGACGGGCCAGGAACGCCCTAAGACGGCCAAAGAGGCCCCCGAGAAGTCCCAAGAATGCCCCAAGAGGCCCTTAAGAGGCTCCAAGACAGCCCAAGATAGCACCAGCATGTCCTCCAAGACGGTCCCAAGATGGCCCAATCGAGCCCAAGAGTACCTCACGAGGCTCCGAAGAGGCATCCTCCCCCTTCTCCTTTTTCCTCCTTCTCCCCCTCTTCCTCTTCCTCCCCCACGTGTTCCCCGAAGGCTTTCCAAACCGACTCGGGGAACACATGGTCCGATAGCTTCGCCCCCCAAGATGCCTCCAAGACGGCCCAAGATGCTTCCAAGACGGCCTAACATGGCGTCACTATTACCCAAGACGGCCCCAGAGACCCCCAAGAGGTCTCCAAGACGGCCCAAGAGGCCTCCCTCATCGTACTCATTCTCCCCCACGTGTTCCCCGAAAGCTTTCCAAACCGACTCGGGGACACACATGGTCCGATAGCTTGGCAGGCCTCTGGCCACAACGTTCGGCCGCATAGGCGCGGCCGAAAGGGTAGGGGGCGGCGGTGATTCGCCGTAGGCGTGTTCGATATGCTTGTCTGGATGTATGTATGTAGGTAGGCAGGCAGGCAGGTAGGTGCATATATGTATGTATAGTTATATGTAAGCATGTGCGCATATATGAATGCATGTATGCAGATATGTATGTATGATGTATGTATGCATGCATGCATGCATGCATGTATGTCTGTCTGTCTGCCTGTCTGTCTGTCTGTCTGTCTGTCTGTATGCATGCATGCATGCATGCATGCATGCATGCATGCATGTATGTATGTATGCACAGATGTGTGACTGTATGTTTGTATGTATGCCTGTATGTGTGTATGCACGTTTTTATGCATGTGTGCAGACATGTATGCATGCATGTATATAAGCACACACATGCATGCATACATGCATACATACCCACACACATACATCCATACATGCGTACACATACACACATGCACACATACATACATACATACCTACCTACCTACCTACCTACATACATACATACATACATACATACAGACAGACATACGGACATACAGACATACAGACATACAGACATACATACATACACACATGCAACCACACATACATACATGCATACATACATACATACACACATACATACATACATACATACATACATACATACAAACATACAGACATACATACAGACATACATACATACAGACATGTATACAAACACACACACATACATACATACGTGCACCCGTACATGCGTACATACATACTTTCATACAAACATACACACATGTATACGTACTTCTGTACATACTTTAATAGGTAAATACGCACATACGCACATACATAAATACATGCAGGCCGACCGACCGACCGACCGACCGACCGACAGACAGACAGACAAACAGACAGACGGACAGACAGACATATGTATGTGATTTGATAGTTTTCCCCCAATCAGTGCTTGTACTCAAGGGGTCAGATCGGAAATGAATAGATTTGGCGGACATTTCCTGTCGATTTTGGTGGCCGGCTGGGTTCCCGGGTTCCCGGTTCCGGGTTCCCAGGTTCCTGGTTATTGGTTCCTGGCCGATCTCGGTGGGTTCAGGGTTCCCGGGTTCCCGGGTTCTCGGTCGATCTCCTTCTCGATCTCTTCATCGATCCCATTTCAAACCATCCACTGAAAGGTTTTTTCTTGGTGTGATTCTACGCAGAGTTTCGTATTGTTCCATGTTCAGGCTCCCGCCGCTCCAGGACGGCCCCAAGAGGCCCCCGAGATCGTTCCACGAACGCCCAAGAAGCCCTCAAGAAGGCCCCAGGACGACCAGACAAGCCCGCAAGACGACCCAAAAGGCCATCAAAACGGCCCAAGTTGTCCGCAAGAGGGGCCCAAGAGAGAGAGAGAACTCGGACTGACCTTTCACGCTTCCCGCCCCGAGATGGCCCCCGAGACAGCCAGCAGGCCCCCAAGGACCTTTCCAGAAGCCCCAGGGAGGCCCCCCGAGATGCCCAAACCAGGCCGCGAGAGACCTCTTCCGGAGCGCGTTCTGACCGGGACCTCGAGGCGCATCCCGCGGTGGCGACGAGGGCATCCCAGGAGGCCCAGGAGGGCGAACACGAGGCGAGGCCAGCAGCATATCCGTACCTCTTCCTCCTCGGGGTCCTGCACCGAGACGCCCGAGCCCTCCAGCGTCCCCGCAGGCGCTCGCCGCGCCCCGCCTGCACTGGTCCGAGAACGCGTCGGGGCCCGCCCTCCGCTCGGCATCATCGCCGCACGCCATACAAACGCCACATAAACATAAACTTTTGGCGCTCCGCGCGGATTTCTCGGATCTGCGCTGGATACCCCAGGGGCGGCGCCGGAGGCGCTGACGGAGGGGTCCCGCGCGGATCCAAGAAATCCGCGCGGAGCGCCAAAAGTTTATGTTTATGCCGATTTTTCTTCTTCGATCCTCGCGGCCGCGAGCCGCGGCCGCGGGCCGCGGCCGCCGCCGGCCACCGCCAGGGGTGGCGCCAAGCTGCCCAGCTGCGCGCGAGGGGAGCGCCGGGCCCTCCGCGCCAGCTCGCCGGGGGGCCGTGGGCGGAGGAGTGGCAGCTGGCGTTAGGTCGGGCGTGTGCCCCTACAGGGGGACCTTGGGCGACAAGTTCAAACACTAGTCTGACAATATTCGAGAATGGCCAAAAACAATCAGAAAACAAATAGTTTTAAAACATGTTTCAAAACTATTTTTTGGATATTCCTTGTGTAGAGGGACAGGCCCGACTTCAAAGCCGGAGCCGTGCGCATGCAGCGGCTGCTGCGGGCGAAGCGGCAGGGGCTCGTGCGCAGGCGGCCCGAGGCGCCGCGCGCAGCTCCTGCTCGTCGTGGGCGCAGCGTGAAGTCGGGCGTGTCCCCCTGCAGGCGGATCTTGGACGAGAAATAAACAACACTCAGAGGATGCTCAAACATGGTGCGCAAACTATGCCCAGAAATCGTCCCCGGACTATTTTTGGGCTGTGTCTGGAGATTCCTCCCGTAGGGGGACAGGCCCGACTAGATGTTAGGGGAGGGTCGGCTCTGGGGGGGGGGGGAATCGTCGACCCCCCATCGCCCACTCGTCGCCGCCCCGACAGCCCACCCCGACCAGCAACGTGCGGATTCGCTGTCGGGGGCCTATCCAGAAGAAGAAAAACAAAAAACACCTGCAAACAGAAACTTTTGGCGCTCCGCGCAGATTCCTTGGATCCGCGCGGAGCCCCCCGCCAGGGGCGGCGCCCGAGGCGCCGCGGGGGGTGGGGGGGCCCAGCGCGGATCCAAGACATCCGCGCGGAGCGCCAAAAGCTTATGTTTAGGTGTTTCTGTCCTTCTTCGCCTATCGCCGATCCATCAGCGATGTCTCATCCCTAACCAGCCTCGAACGTATCCCTATCCCTAAGATGGGCGAGCAAAAAGCGAGGACAATCTTAGGGACAGGCCCTCGGAAACGGAGGGAATCCTCAAGATCGGCATCGAGGCAAGATGATATCAAACATATGGACAGGGATATGTTTCGAACTGGTAAATCCCCTGCGCCAGGCCCCCCTGTATCCTTGCCCATGAGCTCGTCTTCCCGAAGTCGGGCTTCTCCCAGCGTTCCGAGTGGCTGTACAGCCGGGGCGTTGACCTAAGGAACCCTGAAGAAGGAACGAGGCTCCTCTTTTCCTTAGTTACACTTCGATGTCCCATGCAAATGCCCAAGGGAAAACCGAAGTTGAGGGATGAAAAAAGGACCCTACCGTGGATTACAAGTGCGTGGTCTGTAAACCTTCTGGGACCTCCCAAAGCCTAGAGCCGCCAGGACGCGGCACATCACGCAGGGTTTACCCTGTCAGCCCACAGGAGGTTCAGAGCACAGCGCCTCGTAAACCAGGGCAGGGGCGTGTTTTCCTGCCCTCGACGAAGCAAGCTGTGAAACCATCAAGGAGCACCGAGCCCCTCCCCAACGGAAAAGCGCTCCTCCTTCAGGGCCCCGACTGCATGGGCGTGTGCCGGCAGCCGGGCCCCGTTCCCGCCCCCTGTGGGATGGGGGAGGAGCTCGCGCGTCTGCGTCTTCACAGAGCTATGCTTAGGTCGGGCGTGTCCTCCTACAGGCGGGGCGTTGACGTCAGGAACCCTAAGTAAGAGACGAGGCCCCTTTTTCTCCAGAAGTTAAACTTCGACGTCCCATCGAAAATCCAAGGAACATCTGAGGCAAAATGCGAAACAATGAGGGAACACGGAGCCCCTCCCCACCGAAAAGGGTTTCTTATTCAGCGCCCCGACTGTTAGGTCGGGCGTCCTCCTGCAGGCGGAACTTGGGCGACAAATGAAAAGTAGCGAAAACATAGTCCCAAGTAGTCGAAATTGGGGAACAAATCGTCCCCAGGCTATTATTTCAGTACTTTTGAACACTTCTCCTGTAGAAGGACACGCCCGACTTACATCTATGCTTCTGCCCGAGGTCCGATGCCTGGAGCTCCACCGAAACGCCAGAGTCGTCATGGCTTGAGCGAAGTGGCTTGGGCCCACCTGGCTACGGATGGGAAGGGCACAGTTGAGGATGCGAATGGGGAGGAACAGCAGCGGGAAAGCGGGCGGTGCCAAGAGGGTGATTCACATGGGGGAGTTGGGGCTGCGGGACAGGGAGGACGAGGCGGGGAAGAGGAGCACGAGGCAGGAGCAGGCGGACGAGGCGACTGGGGAGGCGGCGGGCGAGGGACGAATGGGGTCAGGGAGGGAGCGGAGGGGGAGAGGAACGGAAGGGAGGAGGGGTAGCCTGCCGACCACGAGACGACGCGGGGCAGCTGCTGCACCGAGTGCGTCGTCGCTGCAGCCGCCAAGAGCCAAAGCCGCTGGCGCCGTCGCGCTGCCACTGCCCCCGTGCTGCCTCGATCCACGACCGCTCGCAGCACTCGAGGGCCCTGCCGCGTGGATGCCTGCATTGATACACATCAATTAAAAGATTCCCCATATTTTATATTTTCGGGTTTTTTGTCTTCCCCCCCACTTCCACGATTTTCCAATATTTTCTCGGGAATCGACGATTCATTGTGTCTGTGTGTGTTTTTTCCCTCCTGATGCATCCCCGGGGTCCCAGCACGCCTTGGTTGGGCAGTGCTGCCATGTTCTGTCGAGGCCCCCTCGGTCCTCCATGCGGGGGCGCCGCGGGGTCCGCGGAAGAAGTCTGCCACCGTGCCGCAGGCACCGAGGCGAGTGCCCTCGCGTCCCTCCGAGAGAAGTCTGCGTTTGAGTCTCATAAGACGTGGCACTCTCGATGCGGCCCAGAGAGCCCACAGCACGTGCCACCCGGGGGCTTCTCGCAGGTGTGCCGAGGCCCGCCGCAGGACTTTTCCAAGAGTCCACAGAGCGTCTTGGCGAAGGGGGCCCCAAGAGCCAAGAGCTTCGAGGACGAGCAAAGAGGTCCATGTCCATGCCTTACCAGCTGGAAATATGTCCCTGTCCCTGTGCTGGGCATCGCCTCGTCACGATGCCGATCTCAGGGATTCCCTCTGCTTCTGAGGGCGCCTCCCTACAATCGTCATCGCCTTCTGGCGTGTCAATCTGAGGGATGGGGATGAGTTCGAGGCCGGCGAGATGCCCCCCACACGGCCCCAGGACAGCGCCCGACAGCGCACGAGCCGCTCGAGCTGGCCCCGAGGGGGCCCCGCGAGGGGCCCCGCGCACGCCGCGAGGAGCCCGCCGCCCCGCCCGAGGCCGCGAGCCCCGAGCCCCATATCGACCCCGCGGCAGCCCTCGCGCTGGCCGCCGGAGCGGCCCGCGGGAGCCCGGGGGGGCCCGAGGCCGAGCGACACGAGGCGAGCACTCGGACCTCCGACGAGCTGCTCGCTCCAGTCGGTGGCCCCGACGCGACGCCCGGATCACAGGGCACCCAAACATTTTTGGCCGGCGGGGCGAGAGCGAGCCTCTTCCGCTAAAAGCTAGGCGGGCTACGCACCGCTTTCATTAGGGAGACAGGGCACAGGAAGGCCGGGCCTCCAGGGCACCCAAACATCCGACGCACTGCTTGCTCCTTCCCCGGGGTCGGGGTGGCCCCGACGCGACGCCCGGATCACTCGGGTTGACCCAAAAGGGGGTCCAGCGAAAAGGGGGTGGTGCAATAGATGTGGTGCAATAGACTTGTGGGGTTGCAATGGATCTGGGGCGTGCAGTACATCCTGGGGCGCAAACGTATTGCTGGGTTCCCGCGTGCCATACGTGACTTGCAAGACATTGCAACACAATTCTCCGGCGCAGTACATTTGCAACACAATTGCCCCAAATCTTTTGCACCACCCCCTTGCAGCTGGACCCCCTTTTGGGTCGACCAGAATCACAAGACACCCAAACATCCGACGCACTGCTTGCTCCAGGCGGTGGCCCCAAAGCTCCCGGCTCCTTCCCCGGGGTCGGGTGTCCGTCGAAGAATTCGCGCCCGGAGGGAAAAACAAACAGATCGTTCAGAGGCCTCCCAGATGGGGTCGGAGCAAATGGGCTCGGAGGACCGCGCCGATCCATCGCCGATTCATCGCCGATGCATCGGAGATGCATCAGCGATGCATCGGCGATGCACCAGCGATCCATCGTTGACGTGGGCGATGCATCGGCAACATCGACGTGAAGCAAGTCGGGCTCCACATCGAGCCGCATCGTCGATGCATCGGTGATGCGGCGCGACCCTCCGACCCCATCCACTCGGACCCCATCTACGAGGCCTAGATCGTTCGAAATCTGGTGCCTCAATCGTGTCTGTGAAAACCCGGTCTTGAGTAATATCCGGGGGTTTTAGAATGGATTCAAAAAAAAACCCGATCTGTGAAAATCCGGTCTTGAGTAATATCCAGGGGTTTTAGAATGATTTCAAAAAAAAACCGGAGGTTTTAGAATGAATTCAAAACAAAACCGGAGGTTCAATTCATTCTAAAACCCCTGGATGTTACTCAAGACCGGGTTCTCACAGACACGATGCTTAGTTCTATATGTGCCATCCTCCAGCCCGTCGTCGCCACCGCCAATGGCGGGGGCCGAGCAGCGCGGGGAGAGGCGGACCACGGTGCCGGGCTCGGGGAGCCCCTCGAGGGGCACCGAGCAGGCCGCCTGGACGGTGAACCAGTAGTCCTGGAGAGATGCCGGGCACTGCCAAGGAGGAGGAAACGATGCGGAGCTTAGCTGCCCCGATACGCAACACGCAACACGTACCGTATCGATACGGAACTCAACACCTAGGCTGAAAACGTAGGTCTGACGCGATACATTCGCCAAAACGTGGTCCAATACGTGGAGCCAACACGCAACGTATTCGCACGAACGTCTTGAACACGGGACGTGTTGCGTTTCAAAACGCACGTATCGAGGCAACTCAGATGCGGAGGGGTGCCGATGTCACACAGGGAAGGGAGCGTCCCGTGCAGAGAACGGCGGGTGCGCTGGGGCAACTCGCTCAGCCCTGCCTGTGAATACCCATCGGTTGCAGATGCCTCCGCACCTCGTCATCGCAGGCAGGCGTTTCCCAGCCCCCATCTTCACGACAGCTTCGCACTGCAGAGGATCGGGGAGGGGGGAGGGAGGATCGAGGATCCAGGAGTTCTGGAGCTTTTTTTGTGGAAGCCCCTGGGAGTTCGGGCGGGCTCTTGAGGGTCCATGCGGGGCCCGTCTCCTCGAGAAGGTGGTGACACCCCTGGTGGTGACCTCCTCTCGCATTGCCCGGGTGATGCTGCAAACAAAATCAAGTGTGATGGCGCGTGACACATTGGAATGCAGTAGAGTAGACTCGGATAGTAGTTCTACGAACGGAAACGTTGAGTTTTTAAGGCATGACGGTTTCAGGTGCACTCCGAGCTGTCCACCCCCCCCAAAAAAGGCCAAAATGGGTTCAGAACCAGCGGAAAATCAGTGTGTTTTGTCTTTTCGCTGTTTCGCTTCCGATGGGCTCTTGCGGCGTCGCTCCAAGCGTTGCATTCGTTTCATGCTGGGCGCTTTCGCCCAAGGTCTTGGGCCCCCCCACCGGGAGGGCCCCCTCGCGGAGCTGGTCCAGCTTAAGCGGCATCGCACAGAGAGACGGGATCGGGATGCGCCGGGTCGCGATTGATGCACGATGGGGCAACTTTCCCTGACGTCGGATTTTGGAGGACCCAGACTTGGAGGAGATTCCCTGTTTTCATCGCGGCAGGTCTCCTGAGTTCTTGACGCTTCGCGTACCCCCCTCAGCCCATGCAGACACGATGTCCGGGCGAGACGCCTTGATCGGGGAAGCGCTAGAGCAAACAGTCAAACAAGGAGGAGGGGGCAGCCGTCAAAGCAAAGCCCAGGGTCAAACCTCAGAAGACCCAAGAATCAGCCAGGCATGCCTTCGCGGAACTTCCGACCCCTCAGCGCCATTTGGGAGGCCTCTGGGGCTCCCTGGTGGCCCTTTGAAGGATCTCTTGGGGCCCTCTTGGGGGCCCTCGAAGGCAATCTTGAAGGCCATCGATCAACGAAGAGGGCGGCGCCGAGTACGCCCCCGCGTCGGATGCCGCACATTCGCCTTTCGGGGCACTCCCTTAGCGCTCGAAGGACGTGCTGGAGCCCTCTCGCGCACCTCTTGGGGCTCTCTTGGGCCGTCCTGGAGCCATCTCGGGGCCTCGGGAGCCAGCCGGAAGAGAAAAGGGCGAGACGGCGCAACTCGTTGGTGATCGCGCGGTTTTGGAAGGATTTGGGGCCCCTCCGGGGCGTCCCTGGGAATCTCCGTGAAAGGCGTCGTCGTGGGGGGCGTCGTCGTGGGCGTCGTGAAAGCTTGACTGAGCCATCTTCCTCTGCCGTGTGCGATCTCAGAAACCTGGACTGTGTGGGCCATCGCGGAGCCAGCTTGGGCTATCTTGGACCCTCGCAAGACGCGTGGGCCATCCCTTACGGACCCAGGGGATGGGATGGGGATGAGCCCCGAAGGGGAAGAATGGGGGTTGGAAGAACTAACTCGCTGAACCACCCACTGGTGGGATGCCGACTTCTCTCTGGGAAGTACGCTCGGGCCCCAAGACAATCAAATCATTATCCTGGACGGCAATCTACGCCCTGTGAAATGGCCGAAACGTGTGGGCCCCGCGGATTGAAAACATCACACCACCTTGGAAATACAGGGCGAAACGGAACAGGATGGATGTTTTCCCCGCCCATTCTAAGCTGGATCCTCGTATTGAGTAGGCATGCGTTGCTTATCCTCTGATCCCGCCTCCTCCCGCCTAAGCCCCTTCTCCTCTCCTCTGCGGGTGATCCTAGGCGAAATCCCAACCCGAGGACAAAACCCTTCTCCTCTCGCGTTCCCCTGCGTCTCGCTCCAGGTCCGTCATTGCGTCTCTCTTGTCTCTTCTCTCCCCTCGCTGACCTATCACTCTCTCTCTCTCTCTCTTCCTATCTCTCTCTCTCTCTCTCTCCCTCCCTCCCTGCCTTCCCTTGGGTGCCACCCACGCCCTCGGGCTGTGGCCATAGCGCGCTGCCGCCGCCGTCCTGCTGCGCCTGGCCCCGCCTCCTGCCGATTCTCGGACCCCCGCGGGAAGGGGGCAGGGCGGGCGTCGGTGCTTCAAAGATGGGGTCCTGAGGGACGGGGTCCTGAGAACAAGGTGCCTCAAACAGCCCAAATACACCCCTGGACCCCTTCCTGCCCTTCGGTCCCCATCCCTCAGGACCACATCTTTGGACCATGACCCCCGCGGGGAGGACGAAGAGCAGGAGGAGGAGGAGGAGGAGGAGGAGAAGGAGGAGGATGAGGAGGAGGAGAGGGAGAAGGAGAAGGAGGAAGAGGAGGAGGAGGTGGAGGAGGAGGAGGAGAAGGAGGAAGAGGAGAGGCACGCCAACTCGAGGAGATCTGAGCGCGCCGAGACAGGACTAGGAACGGCAAAGACAGGTGGGAAATAAGAGAGAAAGAGGAGGAGGAGAGGAGGAGGGAGGAGGAGGAGAAGGAGGATGAGGAGGAGGATGGGAGGAGGAGGAGGCAAAGGAGGGGAGGAGGAGGAGGGAGGAGGAGGAGGAGGAGGAGGGGAGGAGGAGGAGGGGTGCGGGTGCGGGCCGGGTCCTGCCCGCCAGCCCGCGTGCGCACGCCGCCAAGCGCGTCCGAGAAGCGCTCCAGGAACTCGCCCCTCCAGTGCCAGCTGACCTTGGAGGAGAGGGAGGAGCAGGAGGAGGAGGCGGAGGAGGAGGCGGAGGCGGAGGCGGAGGAGGAGGAGGAGGAGGAGGAAGAACGCTACAGCTGCTCAGCTTAAGCCCGATCAACGTAAAAAGGGAAGAGGACGAGGAGGAGGAGGAGGAGCAGCAGGAGGCGGTAAAAAGGGGTCATGAAGATGGGATGCCCGGGGCGCGGCGCATCCAAGACGCGACAAGAAGCCAGGGTCCTCCTGGACCCAGGGGCAGCAGGCAGCGTGCCGACGACGTCCAGAGTCGAGGCGTGCAGGGGCGCCCTGCTCCAGAAGCTCACCCTTCAGGCTGGTGTTGGCTGCACCACCGCGCAAGCTCTGGCCTCTTCTCTCGGGGAGCGTGTCAGCACCGATGGCGACCAATCGGCCACCGTGCCCCCTGGCACTATGAGTCGTGGAAGAATGCCCAGGTCTGCCTGGAACGGTTCCTGAATTCTAATGAGGACCCCCCCTCTACTCGCGGACATTTGCACGCATCGCCCCTCCGTTCCGAGGATGGTTGCCTCGTTCCCGCTCGAGGATGGTGCACTTCCCTCATTTGGGCGCCCGAGTTATCCGGGGTAACTCGGGTCCGGGGTAACGCGGGTTGGGATTCCCGAAAAAGGAACCCGAGTTAGCCCTGACCCGAGTTACCCCTTATGAGTTGGGGCTCTGGACGCCCGAGTTATCCGGGGTAACTCGGGCCTGGGGCAACTCGGGGTCGGGTTCCCGAAAAGCGAACCCGAGTTAGCCCTGACCCGAGTTACCTAGGGCTCCCAACTTCGCGCTTCGCGCTGCGCGAAGCGCGAAGCGCGAATAACTTCGCGCTCTCGCGCCGCCCTCCCAAAGGGAGAATAGGAGGACGAGGAGGAGGAGGAGAAGGAACGAGGACCGCGAAGCGCGAAGCGCGAATAACTTCGCGCCCTCGAGGGAGCCCTTGGTTACCCCTGATGACTCGGGGCTCTGACTCATGGCATCTAATGCCCGATGCCCCTTTCCACGCGTGCCCGCTCGGGGGCGGTGCGCTCCCCGCACGGCAACTATAATGCCTGAGCCCACGGTCCGTGCGCAGCACCCGCAGGATGGTGCACTTGGCGGCACGGCAGCTACTGCCCGGATCCCCCATTTGCATGCGTTCCCGCTGGAGGGTGGTGCGCTTCCCGCGTGGCAGCTCATGCCCGTCTCCTCCTCCTCCTCCTCCTCCTCCTCCTCCTCCTCCTCCTCCTCCTCCTACTCCTGCCCCTCCTGAGGTCCCCGCGCCCACGCCCCCGGGTCCCAGTTTTCCTGCTCGAGGGGCATGCCTTCTCGGCCCGCACCCCCCACCGCTGGACCCTCGTTCCACGCGCACCCGCTCGAGGATTGAGAACTTCCAGCATGGCTGCTGATTCCTAGACCCCGCGTCCCGCGCGCACCTGCTCGGGGATGCAACCCTTCCCGCGTGGCATCTAATGCCTGAACCCTCGTTCCATGCGCGCCCGCTCCAGGATGGTGCACTTCCGGCATGCCAGCTAATGAACCCCTTTTCCACGCCTTTCTGCTCGAGGATGGTGCACTTCCGGCATGGCAGCCAGTGCCTGCACCCTCATCCCACGCGCACCCGCTCGAGAATCGTGTGCTTCCCACATTACCAGGCGCTGTTCCCAAGCGCCCAGGAAGGCAAGGTTCAAATGGTCGCGGGACAACCTCCTGGACCTCCATCGCTCGCTTCATCGCCCCAAATATCGGACGCCATCCAAATCGGGATCGCGCAGGCGGGCGCCGCGTCCTGTCGAGGAGGCACCAGTGCAAGTGGCCGCGCGGCCCCATTGCATGCGGAGATGCACGCAGCGGCAGAAGACCAGCGATGGCGCGACATACTTTGCAGCGGCTGGGCCAGAGACGTTCGGGCCCGGAGATCTGCGACATTGCATGCAAGTATAACGACGTTGCAACGCGGGCCAGGCAATGCGACTCAATATGTCGCCGCGCGACTGCAATGCCCCGCCAGCCTTCCCACCGCCTGCGGAGATACTGTAGGCCCCGTGCCCCGTCGTTCGACGGCCGCGATTTACTTCCACGGCTTATCCGGCGCGGACCCAAGGGCGCCTCGGGCCCGATCGAGACACGAGCCCGGCGCGCGGGCGACGAGAGAGGGCATCCGAATGTTTCTCAGAACGGTGAAGGCCCCATCCGAGCAGCGGAGGCCCCGAGAAGCCATCCTTGACGCGAAGATGCAACAACAACCGGTGGGCTTCCTCGAAAGTGGGCCCGTGAAAAATGGGACGCGTGGCGCCTGCTCGCCAGGCTGGCCCCAAGCAGCGGCGCCAACAAACATACCATCCTTAAAATCCCGCGCGCTCCCGCGGCGTTCCTGCCGGCGCCGAGACCACATCTACGCGCTGACGCTCCGGGTCGGGGAGCGACAACTCACCCCTGGCCATGGGGGGCCTGGGCCCCTCGCCCGAGAGACCCCCCCGCGTCGGAGTGCTTTAAAATCCTAAGCTCCTGAAGGGCCCCATCAGCGGCTGATGCCGGGTCGCTTCGGGCGCGACTCGCGGGCGGGACCGATCGAATGGGCGAGGGTAGCGCGCTGGCACCGCAGCGGGCCAGCAAATCGTGGGCATCTGGAGAGGCCGAGCCACTCGCGAACATTGAACCTCATGGAGTCCAGAGCGTCGACGGACTCGTTGACTGCGTCGACGATATCCACCTGGCGCGCCGCCCGCCGCCCGCCACCCGCCGCCCGCGCCCGGTGGCCGTCGAACTACGCGCCCGCCGCCCGCGCTCGCGGCGGTGGACAGCCAGCCGAGGAAGCGGGGGGATGTCGCGCGTCCACAGCGGGATGCTCTCTGTCTCCGACAAACCAGCGCCGCCGACGGGCGCTGCCGCAACAGGAAAGAGACGGTGGTCGGCACAGAGAGGACGTCCGCCTTCCTTCTCCAATGCTTCTCTCGGCTTAGACCTGTGGCGCGGCGCGGTGAGTCACTCAGCAACATCGAGGTGATCCTCTGTCCGTCCCTAGCGGTGTCACTGCCGCCCTTGACGCCTCCCTTCTCCGGGCGCAAGCGCACGGGCGGGTCTCCGCCGCCTTGCGTTTATCCTGCGAGACGGCCGTATCGGCCTTCGTCTTGTCCTCGACGTGCGCCGTCAGAATGGCTGCCGCCGGCGCGCGTCCTGGCCGCGTGCCGTCACCCGCGCAGTGCGGCGCCCCCTCGTAGCTCGGCGCGGACGGGTTCACCGCGTGCGCCTCGGCGATGAACTGCCGCCGCCGCACCTCGGCCTCCATGTGCGCGAGGTCGTTGATCACCGCGAGCGCATCGATGTGAGCGAGTTTGCCTTGTCCACGTGGAATCTTGGCCTCGGCTACCCATCTCATGAGATGCGCCCGCGGCCCTTCTGCGATCTTGATCGTTTCACGGTTGCACCATTCGGCCGTCCTGGACCCGCCCGCTCAATGGGAGGTCGTCGAAGTCGGTCGTCGTCGTCTCATGGACTGACTCTCAGAACTCCCGTCTCTGTTGTCCGTCGGGCCCGTTCTGTACCGAGAGGGTCCGAACGCCTGGAAATTCATTCGCTGCTCGACAAAGAACGAACTCGGGGATCTTCTGACCCGGGTCTATCCAGACCCGGGTCAGCAGGAAACCAAAAACTGCAATGCAAGGAACAACAAAAACTGCAACGCAGGTCTTCGCAAACCCGGGTCAACCAACAGGCGCGGCCGCCTCGCGGCCACGAGCGGCTCGCGAACCCGGGTCGGCCAGAGGGGTCCTCGCAGGATCCTGCAGGATCTGGCGCCCTGGCTGACCCCCGTTTGCATCGACCCCCTTCTCAAGGCTCCCGACGAACCTCGGGTCCGCCGTGTCCGGAGGGATCATCAACCCGTGCACGCTCGTCACACCTGCTCCCGCCGGGAGCGTCGCGATCTCGCCGATGCTGGTGGCCGTCCGCGGGCGCGGCGAACATCCAGGAAGGCGCCGCCGCTGGCACGGCCGGCGCCGCGGCGATGCTCCCCCCACAATGGGTCAGCGGCAACGGCCACGGGTGCCGCGCCCGCGCCGCCGCCTCCGCCTGGAACCCTGATCGCCACGAACGGCCGCGCTTCTCTCAGCAACTGCCATCGTTCTCGTTCACGCCCTCGGCTGTTTCACGCGCCCGTGATGCATCTATCCTTGGTTGGCTTGTGCCCTCTAGTTTGTTTGTGCCATCGTTTGCTGTTTGTACCTTCGGCTTTTGTACCCTCGCGAATGTATACCTCATGCCTAACTGATACAAGCGCTCGTGTAACATCTCCTCGCCCGCGCCCGAGTATTTGACCAGGGTTTTCCGCAGGGCGCTCGCCCCCAGTCCCATCGGATAGGGCCAGCCGTCCGCCCCCCCTTTCCATAAGGGCTGGCACTGATGGCGCCGGTGGCCCTCCACCCACACGCGACATGAGTGCACGTCAGCAGCAACTGGACAGACCAGGGCTCGAGCTAAACAGTGTTTTGCGTTTTCGTTTTGTTTTCGTTTTACCTCGTTTTGTCTTCGCTCCGCCTCTGTGCAAAACGAAATCAAAGCGAAAGCGGTTCACGAACTCGCCGAAACATCGCTTAGCTCGAACCCTGGGAAACACAAAAACGGCACCGAAAAGAAATCTCCAAACACGAGCTCGTACGGGTAGTTGCCCCCGCTTGAGGCAGCCTGCTGGAGTGCTTCGCTGTTGCAAGGACAATGACACACCGGCGGTGGGAACGTCGGACACTCGACGGCGGCCCTGCCTTCTGCTCGCGCGGCGGCGACGGCATCGTCGAGCACCGCTCGGAGCTCCCAAGCTGTGAACGCAGGCGCTCCAATTCACAGCGCCAGGTTCACAGCCGCCGCCCCGCCCGGCGCGGCCCACACCATGCAAGTGCCCGCGAGGCCTGTTCGTGCACCCCTGAGGCGCAGCAAAGAGACCTCGAGGTCGGGAGAACGGCCGCGGGTCGGCACGATCAATACTGCGCAACGCATTCTCGTCAGCACCAACATCGTCGTCATCACCCTTGTCATCCTCACAATCCTCTTCATCCTCATCACGGCTCTCCCACGTCTGGAGACGAGGTGTCACACGTGACGGCATCCCGCGCCCCTTCGAACAGTCGCCGCACATAATGATGGGCTGGTACGGTGGCCGGACTTGACGCAGGCAGCTGGATAACATGGAACAGGTACTTGGTAGGACATCGATTTGGCGTTGCAAGTGTATTGGCCGATGCAGTCGAGATGTGCTGTCAATGGTTGAAGGGTGGGGAACATGCCATCTGGCAGGCTGCCGCTAAGGGACTGGCGTAGCTGTCGTTCAGGGGGTCCTCGGCGTTGGACGTCTCCTCGGCCGTCGAAGACTCCTCGAGGCGGAGGAGTACGGCTATACTGCTCTGCGCAGGCAGCTGCGCATCCGTACTGGCCGCTGTGGTATCGCACTGAGCACGTGCACTGCATGCACGCGCGAGCAAGCACATTCACCCGCTTGTTTATGAACGACAGCAGCAACGAATAGACATGAATACACACACGCACATCTGTATATATATCTATATATATATATATATAGATTTTTATATACATGTATCTATATAAGTATAACTATACATATGAACATTTGCGCGTGAACGTAGCAATTAATGTCAACTGTGATTTAATGCACTCCTCGATTGGCTGCCTCGTTTGCACTGGCCGCGCACGTCCCAAACCATGGTGTCACCAGCCTGTGGAGCAGTGGCTCCACGGCATGGCAAACAGTCGAACACACAATCGCATGGCTCATGGCGGGGTCGTTCTGCTTGGAAACCGAAGAACACAAACTTTGTGTGAATCTGACAGGAAGACCGCAGCAAGGCAGGCCTCCGAGGAAAACGAGGACGCGAACTCTCGTCCTGCCCTTGACCCTCGTGGCCCTTTTACACACACAGAGGGAAACATGCCGCCGTGCCTGGCCAGGGCCATCCCTGGGCCCCAGCATTGTGCACACGCCCTCCTGGAAGAGGCCCGGCGGGTCTTTATACCGTCCCAGGGACTAGCATGAAGTCGGGCGTGTCCCCCCACAGGCGGACTTTGAAGAAATAATTATCACATGAGCAACAAACAAAAACTCCCAGATAGCCAAACCTAGCCCAAGGATCGCCCCCAGACTTATGTTTTTGACTGCTTCTGAACATTCCCCCTGTAGAGGGACAGGCCCGACTGAAGACTCGCATGGTCCTGGCCTGGTACGGCGTTTGTGTGTGTGTGTGTGTGGATGCCTCCAGCGGGCCCTGCCCATCGCTCGGACGTCCATTCCCTGTGTTTTTGTCGGTTTCGTGCGTGGTTTTTCCGCCAAATGATCAAGGATGCTCCTCGATGGTCCTCGCCGAGGAAAAAACGCACACGTCCGAGCGATGCCAGGTTTGTGTGTGGATGCCTCCAGCGGGCCTCGCCTCCCGCCTGGGCCACGGCGAGCTCGTGTCGTGGACGGCTCCGCCCGACGCCCGCGCGAGGCCTGCTCGGCCTCGAGCGATCGCGTCCCTCCGACAGCCCAGGTCGCTCGACCTTGCTGGGCCCATTTGCCACCACCACTGCCATATGTAGGAGAGGGAGGAGGAGGAGGAGGAGGGGGGGGAGGAGGAGGAGGAGGAGGAGGACCTCATCCTCCCTCCTCCCCCGTTCTACATCTGGTAGTGGTGGTGGAACAGTTGCCCGTCAGGTCTCGGCCGAATCTGGGCCACTGGCAGCCTCGAGCCCTGAACGCCCGCGCTGGAGCCGCCGCGGCAGCGCAGCACGCGCCTGCCGCGGCGCGCAGGACTGCCAGCTGGCGGAGCGGAGGCCCCCCCCCGATCCGCGGGGCCTGGCCCGGGCAGTGCGGCGTCGGCTGCAGCCTCTGCGCCAGGCGTGCGGCGCGCACGGCGGACATGTCAAACACGCCCTCGCGGAGAGCGGCGAGCCAGCAGGGCAGCCGCCTGGCGGCGGGAGGGCGGGAGCGGCCTGCAGAAGCGCTGCCGCTCGCGAGGCGCCGCACGACACTTGTGTGTGTGTGTGTGTGTGTGTGTGTGTGTGTGTGTGTCTGCGTGTGCGTGTGCGTGTGCGTGTGCGTGTGCGTGTGTGTGTGTGTGTGTGTGTGTGTGAATGTGTGTCTGTGTGTCTGCGTGTGGGCGTGCTCTCACCGCACATCGCACCCGAGGCCTCGTGCGGTGCCAGAACTCGTCTTGTTCAAATGCCCCCATCCACATTGCACCTCCGACGTGCGTGACGCGAACTCCCTCCCCCCCCCTCCCCCCCCTCCTCCGAGGGATGGCCGACACCAAAATCCCAGAGCCCCCGCGCAGACCCCAAGAGTGACCCCCATCGGGGCCTCCGGAAGTCCCACAACGCCGTCAAGGACCGCCCACAACGTGACCCGCCTCAGGCCGTCCTTGGAGGTCTCTTCAGGGTGGCCCCTGGGGGAGGAGTGCACGTTGGTGGGATTCCCGTTCACAGTTCGCATACCATGTATCATCACACGGGCAGTGAATTTCGGATTTGCGAGATGTGTGCTCGTTAACGTTCAGATCATATTAGTGACCTGAGCAAATTGAAATTGTCTCTCTGGCCATTTCACGGCAAAGAGGCGTAACATTCTTGAGATATGTATATATATACATATATATATGTATTGCCCAGGGGCTTGAGACCCAAGGAGCACTTGTCTGTCAGTGGCGTGTTGTGATGCTCCGCGTGTGTTCCCAGTCCGATTCCGATTCCTCTGCAGATTCCCTGGATGATGATTAGCGGGCGGCCCCCTCTAGGTGGTTCCAGCAGCCCAAGACGGAGACGGCCCAAGAGGGCCACTAAGTGGGCCCAAAAAGTGCGAAGATGGCCACGAGACAGCCGAAACTCCCCAGGAGGATGGCAAGACGCACCACGGCACCTCCGAGACAGCCATGACGTGCCGCAGGAGGGCCCGACGACCGCCTAGAGAGCCCCCAAGAAGGCCCCCGAGGGCATCAGATGGTCCACGAACGCCCTAAGATGGCCCAGAAAAACCCAAGATGCCAGCTCCACGCTAGGTGCCAGAAACACCACACGACACCCCCAAGAGGTGCCCGGACGACCCCCAGGAGGTCCCCAAGAGGTTTTCTCATCATGGTCATCCTTTCGTCACCCTTCTCTCCTCTATCTTTCCTTTGTTCTGTTCTTGCTTCTGTATCTAAACATGTTTGCATGTTCTCTTGACATGTTTGTTGTTTGTTGTTACTTTGGTGTTGCAGTACAAACATGTACGTATATGTCCATGTATGGGTGTATATATACCTATACGAACACCCTTCGGGTGATAAGGAGGTTCGGAGGAGGGGAGGAACCAACGTCTCACTCGATCGGCCTCACTATCGATATCACCACCGATCTCACGATCGGTCTCGCCCGATCGATATCACTCGATCGATCTCACAATCAATACCACTCGACCTATTTCATTCGATCGTTCTCACAATCGATCTGACTACCGATCCCACAATCGATCTCGCAACCGATCCCACTCTCGATATCACAGTCGAGCTCACATTCGGTACCACTATCTATATCACGATCGATATCACAAAACATCTCACAATTAATGTCATCATCACCAACACCATCAAAATCATCGTCATCAACGTCACGAATATCATCATCATCGGGTCACCACCACCCCACCACAATCATCAAAACATCATCATCCTCACCATCATCATCATCGGAACACCATCACCGCCACCATCAGCATCAACATCATCAGCATCGGGACGCCATCATCATCACGATAACACAACAATGATCATCACCATATCGTCACCATCTTCATGAACAGCATCATCACAATAATCAGCATCAACAGAACACCATCATCATCCCCAGAAACATCACCACCAACATCATCATCATATGGACCCCATCATCATCATCGTCACAATCATCATCATCACAACCGCCAACATTATCATCACCATCGTCGGGGCACCATCGCCATCATCATCAACAACATCACCATGATCACCGGGACATCATCAAAATCAACATCGCCATCATCTGTTCAAAACCAACATCATCGGGATTATCCACAGAATCATCATCCTCATCCGGACACCGTCAGCATCATCGACAACATCATCATCAAAATCATCGTCATAATGGGAAAACCATCATCGCCACCGCCATCACCGTCACCGTCATCATCATCCATACCGTCAACGTCATTGTCATCATCATCCTCGGGACACCATCATCACCTCCATCACCATCACCATCATCATCATAATCCTCATCATCATCGTCATCATCGGCATCATCAACATCATCATCATCATCATCATCATCATCATCATCATCGTCGGGGCACCGACGGGACGCCAGCGGTGCGCCGGCAGGGCACCGCGGGCCGCCGGCCCCCGGAAAAGAAACATTTGGTCCGGCCGAGCCTCAGCCGGAAACAGGGCGCCGGCGGGGCACCGCGGGCCACCGGCCCCCGGAACGGAATCATGTGGTCCGGCCGCGCCTCGGCCGGAGGAGACTTTCTTCTCGCCCGCCCGCGCAGCTTCGCCTCGCCCGCACGCGCGGCGCGCGCGAACACGAAACCGAAACCAATTTCCCGGTAGGGGGGCTCTCCGTTCCACTTCGATATCGCCCCCTCGCCTGCGATATACACATAGCTATACGACCACCCTGAGGGTGATGAGGAGGTTGGGGCGTGGGGAGGGTCCCAGCAATGGGCAACAGTTGTGGTTGTTGTTGTGACGACGCCAATGGAGAGTGTTGCGTCGCCGCTCGGTCTGGGGAGCGTCGGTGTCGATTTGTTTGCATCACCCTTCGTTCTTCGGCGCCTTGGTACCATTCGCCCCTCCCGCTGGGAACCTGCCCGACCTGCCCAACGGCAGCCAACGGCGGCACATGGTCACAGAATACTGGAGCCGTCTTGGGGCCGTCTTGGTTCCTCGCAGCGAACGTCAAATCAATGACCTTCGGGTCCACGACCCTCACGTACCACTTGGCGTACTTGGCCGTCTGGGCGTTTATATTCTTCAGCGTCTCCACGCTCTTGTCGAGCATTTCGGCTGGCAGAGCCTGGCCCCTCGTAGCGAAGCCGAAAGAAGTGCGTGACCGATGTGGGCGCGTTCCCGGCCCCCCCCCCGCGTGCCGAGCGCAACAGAAGCCTTGAGCCGCAGTCCCTGAATGGTAAGAAAGTTGAAGGGGGTGGACCCAACGCCTCACTCAATCGATCTTGGACCCCACCATCATCATCATCAGCATCAGCAGCAGCAGCATCATCATCCTCATCATCATCATATCATTTGGTCCGGCCGTGCCTCAGCGGCAGGAAGCGTCTTCTCGCCCGCCCACGCAGCTTCGCCCGCGAAATTACCATACCACATGCGCCCCCCCCTCCTGGAGGAACGGAAAGCCACCTCTGCCACGCCACTGGGCGGTGCGACGCATCGAGACCACACCCATCCCCGGCACACCGCCTCTGGTGGCGAGGCAGTGCTGCTCCTGTCATGCCCTGGACGGCGGGACGCACAGAGAACGCACCCACTAGGCCCCCCCCCCTGGAGGGAGGCAACTCTGCCAGGCCCCGGGAGCGTGACACGGATAGAGAGCGCCAGCGCACCTGCGCTCTGTGTACATGGGGTCTTGTAGGCACAAGCGAGCGCAGTGCCCTGCAGCGTTTTGTATTGCCCGTGGGAATGGTCAGAATACTCGAGGCGTTCTGCACACATGTGTACTTCGCTACGCATGGCCACGTAGCCTCGTCAGATCGTGCGTGCATATAGACGCATCTACTCCAGAACGGTCGCGCTGTCCTGGCCTCGGGAGCGGCCAAGAGGGGGGTGTCCAAGAGGGGGGGGGTGCAAATCATGACCGGCGGCATGTGCGCGGCCCAGCGGGGGGGCCAGGGACGCAATGAAATAAGAAGAGGCGCCATGAAATCTGGGGAACTACCATGGCCCCCGCCATGATATCCCCCCCCCCCCTAAGTCATCACCCCCCCCTCCTTTCCGCCGCCGATGGCCAAGGGGGGGGGGCAACGCCGGTCCAGGATTCGGCGATGCCTCACCGACGTGCCTGGGATGCGCCCCCCGTCCACGACGCCGCCCGGCCCCATGGGCCCAGCGGGAATCTCTCGGACCACGACGGGCGGCCCCGCCCCGGGCCTGCCCCCCCCCCCCCCCGCCCCTGGGGGCCGGCGTGCGGGAGGCGCGGGAGAGCCCAGGATCGCATCGATAATGAAGGGGCCCTGGGACACACAAATAAATACACACAGATAGAACTATTCCCCATATATATATATATATATATATATATATATATTAAAAAAAATCTGGGCTTCGGTCTTCCCGCCCACTTCTCATATTTCCCACATTTCTGGGGAATCGAGGATTGATTGTGTCTGTGTGCTTCTTTTCCTCCCGAGACGTGCCAGAGATGCGGGAGAGCCCATGATCGCATCGATAAGTCGGATCGGCAATCGACACGAATCGGATCGGCGAAAAAAGCGGCAGCCGAGTCGGGAGGAGCTGAGTCGGCGGAGAGCGGCAGGCGAGTGTGCCTCCGTGGAGAGATCGGAGCCTCCAGCGGAAACCGACACAGTCCAAGCGGTATCGGCATTGGCAGCCGCGCGCAGGCGAAGCGGAGGCAGCGAGAGGAGCCCTGCAGAGATGTGCCAGCCTCGGCCTCTCTCGGCTACACGCAAGAGTGACCCTGGGTACAGTCGAGGCGTTGACCTAAGGAACCCTAAATAAGGAACGAGGCCCCTCTTTTTCCATAAGTTAAACTTCGATGTCCGATCGGAAACATTAGGAAAACCTGGGACAAACTGCGAAATACTTCAGGAACGCGGGGCCCCTCCCCCACGACAAGGGCTCCTTCTTCAGGGCCCCGGCTGTGCCCGCAGGAGTGGCC